TTCAAAATCCTCCAACAATCACTGTAATGGGTTGAGGCACTGCCGATGACATTCAGAAGCAGTGCGGATGATATTGAGCATAATGCAGGGCTCAATTATGCATGTCTGAATGTAAACAATGCTGGGTACAGCCTACAAACTCAACACAACGCATCTTCCAAAATCAACCAACATTTTTTTGCCATGCAGCCTCAATCCTCCAAAATCCTCCAAAAACTGCCCAGAGGATATTGGAGGATTGAGGAGGGTTAGGGTTAAATACTATCAGCCTGAAAGTTTTGATTATCAAAACATGTGTAGGCCTTAAGCCTGGTCTCAATTCTTAATGCAATGGTTCGGGACATGGATTAGGCCCTATCACTATGCGCAACCAATTAAGTCGTACCGTACCAAGTGACCTGTAAACACTGGCCACACATGACTCAAAACTCACTAATATGGTCCAATAATTGTTCCAAACATCAGTCTTCCTAAGCCAACCACACCCTGGGGAAATATGGCCAGCAAAACTGCCAGCGTGTGAAGTACAGAAAAGGGGAAACAAACAAGGAAGATTTGTAATGCGGAAGCTGGCAGCAACTAAATATCGCCGACTGATTTATCGAGTTGTCAAGTCCAAGAAATATTGGTAAGACTAATGCAATGGATGCATTTTTGTCGTTGTTACTTAGTCACGGGTTGGTAGGCATAGGGAAATATGGATGCCACAGGCCTTATATTCCAAGCATATGGTGAATAACTTAATTGTGTAATTAGAATTTGTTAATGGCGTGTTTCAAATGTCAGCTACCCAATACTACATGTAAAATATATATGAATTGTATGGTACATGTATGTATTAATTACCAGGGGCTGTGGGTAACGTTTCTGCCACAAACAAGACTTGTTTTGATATAACTTTTTAAGTAAGATTTTAATTATAATTTTAAACAACTCAATATCAAAACATCTACATGTGCATACATGTACATGCACATGTAGATGGAATGCATCTAGTATTCAAACCACTGCACAATTAAATTTAACAACTGCTAAATTATTCATAACACGTAGTTGGTACCAGGAAATAAATATTTGTGACGAAAAACTGACGATACTAGATATTCTTGAACATTTTTTCTATCCCAGCTGGCATGAAAAGGAAGTTCCCATTGCGATTTTAGCTATTTAAGTTTCAACACTGAGCAGTGTTCAAACAACTAAGGACACAGTGCAGGCATCAGCTGGCACAACAATATCAAGCAAATGTGAGGTGCAAAGTCCAGATCAACAACTTTTGGATGTCCTTGACCAGAAATTGCCGCCTGAATAAACAAGAATTCTAAACAAATGAAATTATTGAGTATATATCTGATGGACTGCCTCCACTCCTGATAGGAAACCAGGCACAGATGTGAATTTATTACTCAAAAACCATTTCAATTTACATGCACCACTAGCTGACTAGTCCAGTATACACATGTGTGTGTACATAATGTACACATTGTACCTAATGTCCCCTTCATTTCAATTCAATCCATGGAGTTATAATAGTTCTCACAAACTTCATGTACTACACAATGACCCAAATTGTCATACACTAGATCCATCCGTCCTCGTACACACATACTGTAGGTGATGTACCTGTTTATGAATGTATTTGTGGTGTCAAAATCAGCACAATGAACTCCTGTGAGAGCCACTTGGGAGTCATAACTAATTACTCATACCACAGGACCAATTAATAACATCCGCCAAATTCAGATTTTTTTCCCCTCAAAGCTAGTCCTTGACACGTTTCCACACAAACCCTATTTTTCTGTGTTCGATTAGTCTGGGTACAGCCCATGTTGTTGTTTACACCAAAGAGGCTAGGTCCTAGTTCCAACAAACAAAGGTAAAACCACCAGAATTTACCACAAGAGCTGAGTCATACCGGTTGCTTGTTTGAACAACAATTCTCCTAATGTCCAATTCCTCTGAAACCTAATTTTCTTGTATGCAAACGAAACAGTAGGCCTACATTTATACGCAGTTACGATCTACATGTACATGTACAACTGTGAGATTCATGACCTCTTTATGTGGGTTCAGGGAGGAAGCAGCGTTTCCGCTGTACATAGGAACTGGCATCTGTGCATACCAATATATGATGATGACAGTTGAACCCAAACACTGTGGTGTAATTGTAGACTGACAAGGATTTGTCTGCTTTCAAATAGAGACAGGGCAGTTGTACACACACTGTATTTCCTGTGCTGGTCCAAGTTGCTAATAAAATAATACGCAGTGTTGCAGACTGGCATGAGAAAAAAATACAAAATACATAATTGACATGAATTTGCAACAATTTGACACCCTAAGGCCAAAAAAAAAATAGTTCTGCTTCCGTCCCGATTACATGGCATTTAAAAATTGGGTAGGTAGGTAGGGATTTTTTTGCAAATTTTTTGCAAATTTTTTTTGGTGTACGATCATATGGAGGCGTCAGCGTGTAGTCAAAGGGTAAAAGGTAGAAATTGATGGTTTTGAGTGGGTTTTTTTGGGTCATTTTTCCAATAAACAAATTAGGGTAGGGGTTGTCAGAATAGGTTAGGGAAACTGGAAGCAGAACTATTTTTTGGGGCCTAATTTTCACACCCCTTTTCCAAAACCTTACTATATCCCATGTACATGTACATACATGTACGCATTTTGACAAAATAATAATTTGTGGAGAACATGTCGAAACTGTTACTTTGTAAACAATTGTAGGCCTACTATTCACATTGCAGAAAAACATGCAAAACAAAATCTGGCCAACTTTACGCACCCTTTAGCCAACTAAATTCTCAAACAAACTTTCATGAGGCAAAGACAAGGGCCTCAGTATTTCACCAGCCCAAGCTTGAGGTCTCAATTCAATTTTTTAAAGGAGACCTTTCTTCAATATTTGCACCTGAGAGTGATGCAAAGTGATTTCAATTTGAAGCCTAAGAATGCAATGGAAGGCCTACATGGTATCCACCGTTTTCAAAAGATTGACCATTCAGTAGTCTGGTGGCATGACTACAGTGACAGTATATAAATAGAGACTAGGTACCAGATGTTTCTTTTGACACAGTTGATTGAAGCAGTACTAAAGGGGTTGTATTGGTTGTTTCACGTCCCAATTTTTTGGACAAGGTCAAACAAAGCTTTAGCCATAAGTAGAAGGCCTTTTAAAATTGGAGGATTCAAAACTGTTAGGGTTGATCCATGAAATCGTTTAACATTTAATACAGTGCCCATTACGTACAGCTGTTTCATTTTCAACAAAATAATTGTTCAGAATTACACATGCACTTTACACAAAGTACAATAACTACATGTACATGTATGTACACGAACATGTAGAACATTATTTTGTCACAGACATTGTCATTTCCATGTAGGCCGAAAAAAATGCAGTTGATTTTTATTTTAAATGCGTCAATACTCTATTGTCATGATTGTACTAAGCTGGTTTCTTAATCAGTGCCCAATGAAGCGCTAACAGTCCCTCAAGGCCAAGATTTCAGAAGACCTTGGGCATGCATTTATAATTGGGATGCTAGAACTAGGGATCCCTTCAACATGTCATCAAGGAAAGTACAGGGATTCAATACCTCTGTGCCTTTTGCTGCTGTCAGTCTAGAAAAATAGAGTTGAACGTCAATAGTTTTCAACATCCAGGTCTAGATTTTGAAGGCTGTTGTTCCTTGAATACGTGAGCAACAATGAAATGACTTGCACAAATAAAACCTACTCCCGCCTCTAAAGTCTGTCACACAAAGTTGAAGTTGATATGGAGCTTACTGTATTGTGAAGATATGTATCGCTGAACTTTACTGACGTCAGCAGACGGCCATATTTATAAGGAAGTTTATTCACTTTTACGTTTAACAATGAGGGGCAAAAGGCCCAAACTGTTATGGTTCAGTGAGTGTTTAGAAGTTTTTGTGCAAACTTTGAATGAGGAACCAAGAGTGTATATTTTTCAGGGTGCTGTTGTGTAAAAAAAAAAAAAAAACCTCCCCTCTTAGAATAACATACATTAGCCTACGAATTTTGAGCAAGTCATATCATAACCATATTTGGCCAAAAAATGCAGTATTTTCCACAACCGAAACAGCTTTTAAAGATTAATAAATAAGTAAAAACATGTTGTGATGCTATTTGCTATCTAAAAAGTAGTGGAATAAATGTATTTTGTATCTATCACTCAGTACCATCAGTGGGTGTCAATGTTCTAATTCGTGCTGATCTTCATACTGTAATTTACAATACAATTTATTTTGGAACATTTCTGCATGTACATGTACGTTATGATTAGACGAATCAACAACTGAATTCAATACAGGAGTGGACATTTTCTGGGGAAGTTTTCCAATGCAGTCACAACAGTTTAACTTAATATCCAAAGAATTAGCATTTATAACTAAATTAAGTTAAATATGTTTTTAAAGGTAGGGCCTAGCGGACAACAATGTGCATGCGACATAATTTTATGAAATGGATTGAATTGTGGGCTACTAATTTCTAGTAGTACAGTAGTAGGTATCGTTCCACTGACCTGTTCAATGTTTTGTTTTGAATGGTGCCAGACAAACAAGAAACAATGCTGCGTGTTTTAAACTCTCAAACTTCAATGTGCAACTCCCTGAATCTGCCTTACATCAAATGTAAACCCACACGTCTGAGTGCTTTGGAAAGAATGCTGCATCCTGACGCCACTTTTTCGTCATTATCTCAATGAAGGTCGGGCATAGCAAAATATCTGTGACTGAGAAACACTTGCAATATTGTTAAAAAATACTTTGAAAATGTACTTGACTCTCCATAGACTTTGTCCAAAGAAGTGACGTCTGGACACTAGGCCTACATTCTTTCCGTTATTTTTTCACAGTCATGACAGTAGGAATTTGACATTTTCATTTTTGGATTTTTGCAAATGTTTCCTAATCTTTAACAAGTTTTTGGTTGAATTAAAACATAGGTCTACACATTCAAATAATACCAACCTTCACGTGCTTTCAAATAAACGGTGTTGGCCACAATATTTTCTAACTCCATAACATAAGTCCCCCCTCGCCCGGGGCGTGCAATTAACCGCGGTCAGTGTTGAGCTGAAGCGAGTTTCGCCAACAAGAGAGTACCGTCAAAAATTCACTGGGTGTGGTGGCGAGTCCCCGCTGAAAAGCAACCCGTGCGTGAACGTCCCGTAGCTTTGGAAAATCTCACCAATATCACACTTTTATCGTGTCGTCCCAGCTTCAAAATCCCACTTTCTTCGTACCAAAACAGCAGTGAGAAGTCAGCACATGATCTCGGGGATAACTCATCACATTATGCAGGCTGCAAAAAAGTGAATGTTACCGGCACAATTCGTTAGTAGAGTTGGAAAATCCGTACAATTTTACACTGCGATACGTTTAATGACATGTACATGGATATGTACGTACGGAGGCCGTACACAACACACGCAACATCGTCCCATTTATTTGCACACAAATAATATGTACAACAATATGGCTGGCCTGTTGGCCAGGAGTATACCATTTTCTGACCGTAGGGGGCTTCTATATCATTTTAACCACATTATCGCATCGAACAATTTCAAGTCAATTTATGACCCGAGAGCCTTTGTACAGGATGTTCCCAAAATTATACTTTTTTTTCTTCTTTCAGCTACAGAGTGTATAAACATCTATAAATTCGCAGACTACTTTTTGAACAATAAAAACAAAAAATTTAATTTCAATTTTGGCCTTCACAAGCGCGCGGTTGCTTTGAAGTTCATGAACATTATCCTACAAAAAATTTACTTATGACAAGTTCTTCGACTTCTAGATAACTTGAAATTTCAATAAAAAGGTAAAGTCAAATCTTTACACATTTCCCTCGATCAATTACACAATTAAAGCGTTTACATCCAGGGGGCGGACCCAGGTTGGCTGAAAGGGGAGGGGAGCAACAATCATCAGGAACAGAGAGTTGATTACAATTATACAGTTATTGTTTAATTCAGTTACATGTTCTGCATAATATGACCTTAGAAGCAAAAGTCTTTTTGTGTTCAGCTGAGCTGTGACGTGGGTGGGGCCAAACCTCCCCCCCCCCTTCGTTGTCCTTATTTCTCCATGTCCTTACATATTATTGGACCCCCAGCTTCGACCCTGCAGCAAAATGTGTGAAGAAGTGAGGTGGAGTATTATCTAAACACGCATGCGTCACTAGGGGTGGGCAGTGTGACCTCCCCGAAACCCCACCCCTCCCCCACGTACCCCGCCCCTTTTCAAACTAAACCCTGGTTCGGCAAAATCGTTGCGCAGCACCACCTACCTATATAGTAATTAAAGCTAATTTTTTTTTGTGGGGTCAATTTCCATCCGCTTTTGAACAGGTCTCCTTTCAGAATATTATTATCTTACCCCCTCCTCACCCCCCCCCCTCACACACGCTCCCCCCCCCCCCCCCCCACACACACACACACACAACCCCTCCCCCACCTCCACCCCACCCCAAGTGTGTATTTGCCTGCATCATATCAGGGATCCCCTATTGTCCCACTTTTGTTTGTACACTAACTTTTTTTAGGAAGACCTCCCTGCACGCTTTGTATCGCCAAATTGGGGACCCTTCGGGAATTGGGGACCCTATATTGTCCTCTATTGTTCAACGTCCCCTGTTGAATGCAGAAACAAACTCCCATCCACCCCACTCCCACCCACCCCCACCCCTACCCTCAACCCCCCCCCCCTCCCCAAATAAAATCACTCCTACTTTCGAAACCTCGATCCGATTTCTGGAAAGTAAGTCATGGTTAGTTGGCCATTTGGGTCACACCGTACCTCAGTGACCTTACCCATCCCCCATTCCTATTTTATCCTGGGAAGATCATGGAGCACCCCTTCTGACGACCTTTTTAATTCACACTATTATCACATCATATAATTCCCGCCATCTCTCCCTGTTCTCTGCCGCCCAAGTAGCGTATCTAGGCTTTTGTTTCAGGGACGATCATGTCTTGAGTAAAACTGTCTGGAAAATAAGGCCCTATACTCTTTTTTACGCTTTCAGCTACCTTTTTTAAGTTGCTGAAACAATCATCAGTCCTCTCTACCACTCCCCGGTGTTTATCCTCCCACCGAGCTCCTCTCGTGTCTTTCTTCCTTTTCTTGTACGATGCCCTGTAACAACATGGTCAAGTCTTCGCAAGGCTTGACCATCTTGAGATGCGACCACACCTAAACAAAAGCCTGTAGCGCTTGTCTTGGGAGGGCAATTTTTATATATATAAAACAAAAATCAGGGCCCCGGCCCTAAAACTAGGCGTGTTTGTTTGTTCAACAGATCAGAGACACTCACGAGTAGACTTCTTGAATGCATTCATTGTTCATGAATTAAAATAAAACACAAAACTCAAAGATGTGGCTGATGAATGCAAATTGACACTGAATATACGAGGGCCCTAGTGCTTTGAGGATAAAAGGGTCGTCAATTCATAGTTTCATTCATGGCTTGGCACTGATAGCCTCGGTTTCAATGCTAATTTGAAATTCGTCTTTTCAAGTCCCCTGCAAACTGGACCCAAGTTACGCCCCTCATTTGCCCCCCCCCCCCTCGTAACTGTACCGAACTTAAAAAAAACAAACGCCAATTGGGCCGCGCAAAGTAATATCATGGGGTAGAACCTAAACGGAAAATCTTGCAACTGTTCGCTGCAAATTAACTTTGGTATTTGGGCTTTAATATGGCAAATAATAGTTTCTAGGCTTAGTTTGGATAACTTGTTGAAGGATAAAGCCGGATCAACTATATTTAGTGTCCTATCTAGTAGCCCGTTAAATGGGCGTGGGCCTGGGCGCGGCCACCGACTCGACATGCTAAAATGATCGGCAGTAATCGTCAGAGGGCGCTGTTAAAAGTTAATGGACTAAAATCATACCGATCCTCCGATCCATGTCCAACTAGGACAGTTAGTCATGCATTGCCATCCATTTCATCATCAGCTGCTTATCACAATAAAAACAGAAAGTCACCATTATTGAATGAGTTGTATGATGAGTTGCAGTACCGGAGAAACTGGGTTTTAGGTGAGCCCGTACTTAGTGTCAGACCGGGCCGTAGGCCTATACCAACGACGTGGTGGTCTATTTTGACGCACTCGCATTCAATTTGCGTTGGACAACGCGCGCGCGTTGCAAGCGTTACCTGCGCAAATTATGGTGACTCGAGGATACCACTTCTGTATTAAAAAACCTTCAAAATGTTCAAATTCTTTCTTGACTCTCCATGACTTTGTACACAACCGAGTTGCGTATGGTCCAGACCATTGTGGGGCGCAATCGGTCGATCCGCGCGATCTGTCGTTCGCGTTGTGCGATGGGTCGATTTTGTAAGATATCTTGGACTTAAGTTTAATAGTTACCTTTGTAAAAAAAACATTGTGAATTAGAAAGAAAAAGTGTCGACTGATTGAGCGTCACGATCGACCGATAGCGCAACGCGATCGACCGATGGCGCACATCGACCGAACACGTCCAACATTTACTTCCGTACATTGCATGACAGATAGGCTGGACATCACATGCATGTTTCTGTTTCTGTTCCAAGACGTTAGAAGGTTGTCAATGAACAAGCCTGTTGTGCATTCATTGACTGTATTACTAAATTGAAATAACAGAGCTCCTCTGATGTACCAGCATAGCTCCACTAGTGTGGTTCGACAGCATAGCAATATCCGAGCCTCAATAACTGGGCTAGAACCAGCAATGCATAAGGTCTACACAAAAAAGGGACTTTCTTATAATGTTAGTTTCCTAAGATTACACTATGACTATCTGATAATTTATTCATTCTCAGACAGTGCAGAGCCTATAGTGTTTACAACTAAAGTGACTCCCTGCTGGATATTCAACAGCTATGCAGCATCCAGAAACCAACCCTGCTGGCAATTCAACAGCACCGCTTGAGTGGGACAGGTGGCTGTGTGAGATTGAGCATTCGTGGCGGGATCAGGCAACACGGGAGGTGCAACACAAATTAGGTAAACCATGTCCATACTTGCAAATTGCAAGGCTGCGGCTTGAGAATACACATGCACCTATGAAAAATACCTATAAACAGGTCCAAAAAAGTCAAATTTAGCAGGGAAAATATTGAAGCTTTTACTGAGACAACACTTAGAATTTTTCAGACCAGTCTCATAAGGTTTGTGCACAGGGTGTCATCAAGTGATGTCTAGGTACATTATTTTTCCAAATTTTAAATTGCTCATAAATGTTTTCTTACTGAACAGAGAAAGCTTTTCGTTCAGTGGATCCTCTTCAGCTTCATGCCTTTGTCCTTCACCTGTTGGACAAGAGCCAAGATTTGCGTCGGATGAAGCCATCAACTTTAGCTCTTATCGTCCTGAAAGAGTTTTTGCCGTGGGTCAAGAAAAACAGCCATGTGCTACCCAAAGTAGGTATCCCTACTAGCAGTGAACGGACAATACGTAAAATAAGGCCGAAATGGTGAAAATGATTAATCTCTATATTTTCTGACGATCTTTGGAATTTAAGAAGCATGTGGACAAAAGGAATGAGAGAATATCTTGCTGGTGCAACACAAACATGCAAACCTTTAGGCTTTTTGTGAGCTTAACAACTTTGTGAACTGTATTCGTATTTCAGGACCCGTCTGCTATTATCACCGATGGCATGAAGTTGCACGCCTTGCGGCTGGCAACAAGTGCACACATCAACCTGTTTGACATGATATGTGAGCTGTATCATCTCAAGTGCAAGGGCAATGAGTACTTGGCCACACACCTTAGAATACTCCTAGCGAGGAAACAGTTCAAAGAGGTAAAAGAACACGTAGATGAAGCAAGCCTAAGAACGTTTGTCCAAGGGCCTGCAAAATTCTGTTCAATTGACTCTCAATGGCTATTCGCTGGAAGTCTTTTCATGCATAATACACAATGGGCCGGATTTAGCCTTTTAAAACCTTGGTGTTTCCCTTGCATTCTTTGCTTGCTAAATGTGATCATAGATTGTCTTCTTTTTTGTCTCATAGGCTGGGGTCGCGGCCTACAAGCTTCAACTTCAACACTGCTTCAAAATTGAGGAGGTTGGGCTTCTCTTTATAAAAATTTTGTTAATAAAGAACGTTTTTCAAAATCATGAATTGTTTTAATTTACTCCAACCTGAGTTTCAAGATGCTCCTTAAAAGTAGGCTTCCCATATTTTGCCGCGTGTCTTCCAGATCTGCTTGCCGCTGGTTTTTCAAGACAAAGTGAATCTCGTCGAGAAGTACATTCAGGACAGCAAGGAGGCACAGGAGGAGCTGATACAAAGACTGGACTCCTTCTGTACCAGGGATTCCGATCTTCAAGACATCATTGAGTAAGGTCAAAACGTAAAATGACCCAAAACACCACAGACCAGGTTTCGTAGGTGGTCTGTGAAATAATATGTGTGCACGGCTCAGATAATTCACTCTCTAGTTCATCTCACGTTTTGTTCATGTCAGCAAAATAGTTGTTCTTGTCACCAAAATCGCATAAATCTAACACAATTAGACATGAAGAGTGCCACCTTGTGACCCATTGTGTCCACTCTTGCCAGCCTTTAATTGTGTCCCACGGTGTCATCAGGTGGCGTCCAGTCGCCACTCCTACCCCCTCCCCAGCCCACGACCCCCCCCCCCCCCCCCTTCCCTTCCCAGTGGTTCGCACAGGTAATTTTAAAATTGAGGAAATGTAATCCAAACGTTTTTTTTACTTTATTTTATTTTTGTTTGCAGTAAAATGGAAGCCCCTGGAGTGAAGAAGGAGAAGTTACGACCCAAGTACCTCAGCAAACTGATTTTGCGATTGACAAAGCTGTTCAAGCTAGACCCAGCGATCTGTCCCAATACTAACTACCACAAGGATCTGAGTGCAGTCCGGTTCCTGATGTACAAGAAGTACATTGAGGTAACGCATTGGCCATTAATTGGCTACCTATTGTCCAACAATAGACGGATGTACTAAGCCCTGGCCACTGTGCTAGGGCTGTCCTGAATTTATCAAATATTTGAATATTCTATCGTCCGCGGAATGTTCCATAGTGTATCTTGGTTCAATTATTGGAAAGATAAAAAACAGCGCATGTACACACACTTTGAAATGTTAATTCAATCGTAAAGTTGCTGTGCTTTACTGTCAGATGCCACATTTTGTTGACAGTAACTTTTTTGTCGACAGAGGATCCTGGTTATGAAATACTTGCGCAAAACACTCTTGTGGCCGTATGATTGATCACCCCACGTACATTTTTCCAATTTTTACTTGGCGTGCAGCAATCCTTAGATGCTGAAAACTGGGATGAGCTGATAAAGAGCACTATCCGAGACAACGAGGCCTTGCAGGAGGAGTTTATCAACTTGCTCATAGAGTACAATGACCCTCCGGCTGCTGCAAAGTGGGCAGTGCATTATGGGATTGATCGGAGCAAACTCGCTGCGGATGTGGCTGGAGCAATTGAGACTTGGTAATGACATGTAGATGTTGCATTATTGAAATTAGAAATCAAAACTTTTATCTCAGAAAAAAACTTGCTTAGCAAAGTATTGGCTGTTTTTTCTTTGTTGCTCTTGTCTAACCTTGTGTCTCATTTTGGAGCAAGTTTAACAAGAGTTATTGAATAGACCTCCCCCCCCCCCAAAAAAAAAAAAAAAAAAAAAACAAACAAATAAAAATAGTACCATACTATTACAGCTTTGCAGACAATTGTTTCACAGTTAACCATTCTTTCCTCTTGAAGTTCCTCCTTTTAGTCTCCTTCCCTCTGTGAGATGGTCAGTATGAAAGCATCATCATTTGAGATATTATTGGCTGGTCTATTTGATGTTCTTGTTTTCAGCCCTCCTCCCTCTGATGAACCAGATAACTGGGATGACAATGTCGCAACACCCAAGGTGTCGTTCTATCAACTGAGCCTACCCCTAGAGCGCATTGTCATGGTCGATAATGTTGGATTACTTGAAGTGTGTGAGAGGCATATATTTCAGGTATACTAATCAAGTTATGTACATGTACATATAAATTGACCTGTTAATAATTAGTACCTAGTCACAGCAATCATCTTGCATCATGTGACTATCCTATTGGGTGGTAATTTGTTAGTAAATGTTTGTTAAATTTGGTGGCAGGAGTGGGATTCGATGGTGGCAGAAGTGGGATTTGATGGGGGCAGCCACAAGTCACCACACTTATTTTATATTGGGTAGTTAGGTCCCTGTCAGTTTGTGTAGCCTTTAATTGCGTGTCTGTGTACTTTGTATGTGTAAAACTAGATATAATATGCTCTTTTAGTATATCAGATAGAGTGGAGGTTAAAATTATAGCTACAGAATAAAAAAAAATGTGTAGAATAACATTCCTGTTGGCTGCATGAGCAGAGTTCTACAGAAATTCTCAAGCTATACTTATTTCTCTTTTGGGCACATATTGATGCAGGATGATCAGCTGGTTGGCATAGACATGGAATGGACGCCGTCTTTCACTGCCACCCAAATCACAAGGTCAGTATGTAGTTCAGTGTTGTAGTCTTTAGAAGTTGTGACGTCATTAAGAGCAGAAATTCGGCTAAAGCTGGCCGAAGCTGTTGATTGATTAATAGCTGCCATGAATTTCTCTTACAACTTCAGGTTAACAAAGACACGCTGAATGGTCAGAATCTGGAGGTCAAGTCGCAGTGTTGATGTGCATAATCTGCACACATATCATGGAAGCTTGCCATGCACGCGTCTATTCCATAGACTGATTAATAGGCCCTTACCCTGCAAACATACCTCACTAGTTGTTCTAGCTGTGCCACTTCTGGCCATGCTAAAGGCTGTTCCTATTCCCTTGATCATGACAGGGTTGCTCTTGTTCAGCTGGCAACCTTGGACTGGGTTTACCTTCTTGATATGATAACGCTGATGGCCACTGCAGCTGACCGAATCAGGTCTTTCTTCCTTCGATTTCTCTCAAGCTCTCAGGTGCTCAAACTTGGTAAGATCATCAAGGTTTCGAAATCCTGACTTTGTCACCAACATTAGCTTCAAACAATCTAAGGCCCCTTATCAAGGGACTCTAGCTCAAAAATGCCCCATGATCTGATCTAGGAACATTACTTTTTCAAAATACGAAGCCAGAATTTAGAGTATGTCTATTTGCATGCTGCTAAATGATTTTAAAGCAAGAGATGCAGCCAGTTTTTGAGACAAAATTGCCATTTTGGAAATTCCAATAATGGAAGAAGTTGCAGTACAGGAGTAAATGGGTATCTTTGAGGGCAGAGATGGTTACTGCGACTGGTTTTAGCTGCTTGCGCCAAAATGGCAACATCGAGCTGTGTACTCTCCGGGAGCTGAGATGGTATTTGGAATGTTTTATGGGCTCCATGAGCAGGGGTAATAATGATTATACACTACCTTGGTGACCAACCGTGCTGGATATGTGCACTTCAGGAAAGGAAAAGAATATTACTATTTTTATCTGATTTGAATATCTTGCTTTGTCTGGCACAGGTTTTGGCATAAGCGGTGATTTCAAGATGCTAACCAAATCGTACCCCGGCCTGAAAGGACCCGTTGCAGCTGTCCAGAGAATGGTGGATCTAGACACGCTTTCTAAGCAGGTAAAGATTGTTTGTGCAGCGTATATCGATTGTCTAGCGGACCATTGCTCATCTTCGGCTTAAATTGATCAAAACAGCAGATTTTAACAAAAAATGTCGAGGGATCAATGCAAAGACGGATGGAAACAAAGTTTAAATTCAGTGACTGATTAGTTATGGAAACTTTGGCATCATTTATGTTAACCAATTGATGCAACTAAAACGTCAGGTGTTTGAATAAGAGGAATAGGAAAACAAATGATTTTTTTTATTAAAAACAATATCTATGTGTGGGCCTAATAAAAGATAATTTCATTGTTCTGTCAAAAATTGATTGATTTTTAGATTCTGAAAGCTGAGCCGGACTTCCTGAAACGGGCAGAGACATCAGAAACCGATTCTAGTGGCCCCTCTGTGAAGGGTTTGAGCGAGTTAACACTAATGTGCTTCGGCCGAGCTTTGGACAAAAAAGAACAGCTCTCAAATTGGGAGAAACGGCCTCTGAGACCATCACAAGCCCAGTACGCAGGTAAGTCACAAGTCATCACAAGTCATCACAAGTCAATCACAAGTCATCACAAGTCATCACAAGTCATCACAAGGCCATCACAAGTCATCACATGTCCATCACAAGCCATCCAGTCTCAATCCATTCCTTTTGTTTTTTGTTCATCTTCTGTTCTTTGTGACTGGACTTGTGACTTGACTTGTGATTTACCTGCGACCGTAGTTGTGATGGACTTGTATGATGGATTTTGTTTTGCATTGAAGGGGATACAAAGTCAATATTAAGTTTTGCCCTATTCCGATGTAATTTTGTAAGCACTGTGTACTAGACGCTGTCTCAGAGCCTGTGTGAAAATAATTTAAAAGCTTGCTAGGGTGGGATTTGAACCCATGACCTTCTGCTTACCGTATTGTTTCTGATAAGTGAAGAATTTGTCTATTCTTGACAGCACTGGATGCATACTGTCTGTTAGAGATCTACACATTCCTGAAGACCAAAGTCAGCGACGCGTGGCTGGATATCGACATGGAACCGACGTATTGCTCGAAGACACCCAAGCAACCCAAATCAAAAACCAAGGAACGCAAGCCACCAAAGAAAAAAGCGACCTTACATGGCTTCAAGGTGAATAAAAAACCAATCAAATGAAATAATAGAATAATTAAATTTAGTATTCCAATGGTGAGCATTGTACCATGGTGTTGGGTTGTGAAATTTCATTGGTCGAAGACTGTCCACTTTACAAATTTCATACATTCAGGCATGTTGACCTTTTGGGCTTGGCGGAGTGTGTCAGCTTATGTACCCAAGGTTCATCACCTTGGACGTTCTCAAAGACTTTTTGTTTAATGACTCTTTTGTATCTTCTTTCACCTTCTCGAGACAATACTTCTTTTTGTCTCAAAATTTGTTAACAATCTTTCACATTCACATTAACTTATAGAAATACATTCCTTTTTCTTAATTTCTGTTCCTGACAACCATCTTGTGTTGTACAGAGTGTAATTCAAGATTCTAGCCAGCCCCTACGTCCGGGTGATTTGTCGGTGGTCTGTGACACCATGCTGCAAGGTCTGGGTCGGCAGTTGAGGGCGTGCGGGGTGGATGTGAAGATCTTGGAAACATCAGATGAGCATGATGAGGCAGCCAGGGTAAGATGATTAACATCCTACAATGAGAAAGCAAATTTCACTTTTTTCTTTTTTTTCTACATTAGCAATCCTTCTCTACACATTTTAATTACTTTCAAATTAATAATTTTGTTTGGAGGGCGATGTTTTCACAACATACTTCTGTGAATCTTGCTTGTTGGAATCACGTGTTAATGCGATTAAAGAAGAAATATTCATTTATTCTCAGATTGCGTTCAAGGATGGTCGTGTGATTCTGACATCTGGCACACCCTACCAGACTGTAAGTGTTACATTTCCAGCTACATGCTGTCCGGAGGTTTCTGATTTTAAGAGGCTCTCAAACTCGGAAGAAGCACTGCCCCTTTGGGATGTCATTTTGTTTACATTGTTTATCTTGTGTCAATAACATTAAGATGTGGTTTAGTCCTTTGATGATTTGAATTCTGCACCACTGCCATGTTTGAGTGCTCAAAAGTATAGTGCTGGCAGATCCCAGTTTGTGTTTGGTCGTGTTGGTTAAGGATGAGGCAATTGTTTGGCGAAGGGATCACTAAGATACAAAAAGCTGGCAAAGGTGTTGAAATGTCAACAGTGCAAAGGCAGTGGAAATTCTGGCCTCTCCCTCTTGTTGAGCGTTTCCCTCATGTATCCCACAATGGGTGTGGAACACGAGAAATGTATTGCATTTGTGTTCGGCCTTCAAGTAAACCCAGTGCACAGTAAAAAATGGACTTAGTCTTCGTTGAATGTAGAGTACAACAAATATTGTATAGTACAACAAATATAATGTGCTTTATTTTTGGTGGATAGTTTGGAATTAGTTTCTCAAACTTCTTATACCACGGGGAGCTTATATATCGACTATCCACCCTCAGACCATATTATATTTGTATCCTCTTCATCAAACTTAAGCCTCTATATTTTGTTTTCATAGTTAAAATCTCAGGTGGGCGAAGGAAAATGTTTGGCTGTGGACACAAAGTGTAATGCCAGACAGCAGACTGTTCATGTCTTCGAGCACTTCAACGTCCGCGTTCGTCAAGAGGATGTCTTCAGTCGCTGTCAGGTAAAACAGACTATGATTCTAAAGGGTTTGGATTGAAACAAGTATACTAAGTGATAACAGTTATCAAACCATTCAAGTCAGCAATTTTTTTTGTGTGGATTAAGTATAAAACCCTGAGCCCACTTTTTTTGCAATTTTATGAACTTGCACAATTATACTCAATAATGTATCCAGGGTTTGGGTCTGACAGGGGAGAGAGTGCAAAAGGTTAATTTTCTTTCTGGAAAGTGGCCCCATTCCTTTTTAGGTGGTAAAAATGGTTAAAAGTTTGGGAGGGTGCGTTACTGTTAGTACCGGTTGTGAAGTGCTAAGGCTATTATTTCCTTTAGAAAAAATCCATATCTTTCCTTGCCATTCTTATTCTTGTATGGCTCCCTTTGAAAAGTGATGCTCTAAATTATTTCACAAGTTTAACTTGCTTTCTTTCCTTCAGGTCTGCAACCACAACATGTATGTGCCATTAAACAATGAGGACATGAAGAGACTATGGAACAAGAAGAAAGAACTTCTGGCTATGGGAGGCATTGCCGCTGGGGTTCCAGCTAGCTCGGAAGGCACTGCCGCTGAGATTCCAGTACGCGCAGAAGGCACTGCCGCTGAGATTCCAGCAAGCTCAACAACAGGCAGTAGTGCCTCTGCCAAATATCTGAACCGCCCTTTACATGGGTATGATTCTGATGAGGATGACGAAGGTTTGTTCCTTGATTTAGAAGAGGACTTTGAAGGTGGTGGTGGAGACTACTTCGACATAGCCTGCCCTTGGGTGGAGGCCAAACCATCCGGGACCTCATGCTCTTCGGCCTCACTAAACGAGAAGGCTGTTCCCTCAACGTCATCAGGTGGGGACTCATCAGTTCCACAAGTCACCTCTCCAGCAGACACTCCAATGTCCAAGACAACTCATCCCACAAACTCTCAGTTGGATCCTTCCCTTGAATCCACAGGAGAGGATTCAGAGGCACAATCAGCTAAGGCTCCCTACATGATGAGGAACTTCAATCCGCATTATAGGCCTCCGACCGACAGTGGCCTTGAGAGAACTGTCGACTTTGACAAGGTGACCGTCGGAAATAATGTCCAACTTCAGGTGGAAGGCGTCCCCGAAGGGATCGTGGAGAAAATCCAAAAATTCTTCTGCTGTGCTGGTTGTGGAAAGGTCTTTTGGGAGGGGACACATTTCGAGCGAGTAGTCTCGCAATTTGCACATGTTTTAGATATGTCAAGTGAGCTAGATGCCTAAGTCTACTTTCATCTTGAACTAACTCGGACATTATTTGTAATATTCAAGTAAGATTTGTAACATTTCAATCCAGTTCCAGTGAAAATTAACCTAGGATTTCAATTCATGTAATTTTTATAAATATGCCATTTGATAAATTCAGTGGAATAATCAGATTAATCTTTCGGGAAACAGTTCCCACTGCATTTTGAGCTAATGCGCCTATCAAATTCCCCCCCCCCCCCCCCCCCCCCCCCGTCCCCCCCTTGCGCAGCCCTGGGTGCGATGTCGGGATTTGGTCACATTTTTCATGCCCCAGGGCGGGGATTTTGGTCACTCAAATTACATTGTTACCATTGGCGTGCTACGTGGAAATGCATTTACTAGTGCGCCCCACGACAATCCCCATGTCTTGATAGGCACATAATTGTTTCTCCGAATGGCATATATGCTACCAAAAATAATGTAATGTATTAATCTGTGTATTAATTATCAAAAAATGTTAATGTTTATATTTTCTGAAATTAAGCAAAGTTGTTAAATCCGCAGGCTAATTAATGAGAGTTTCAATTTACTGCATGTAGTTTTATTCTTGCCATACTTTTCTTTGATCTGGTCTGGGATACAGGATTTTTGACACCCGAGGGACGCATGGCACCTTAGGCAAAGCTGAGGGTGCCATGTACCTGCAAGGGTGTACAAAATAAAGTCACAAAATCGAAAAGGTTTAAGATGTGACCTTTTCACACTGCAATATTAGGCTGTGGTTTATACTTAATAAATATAGATTTACAAAGAACTGCATCTTGATAATTAATTGCATATTGCTTTTTTTCTTTTTTACTTGTGAATGAATATTTTAAGTGCCTTGTAAATGCAAAACTATGTGAAAGTGAAATGTTATCAACTTTTAATGTTAGTGTATGCCCTAAATAAATGAAATGCAGAATATTACATTCTTTTGAATAGTTCAGAAAAGTCATTCTTTTGTTTTGAGTGTGTAGAACCTAGGGTGTTTTAATTAGGGTGGCAGATTTTGTGATTAGAATATGCATAATTTGTTAGAAAGTTGTGGGCGTGGTTTGAGGGTGTAAGAGGGGGTGAAGGAATTGAAGGTAAAAAGGAGGGGAGTGACGTATCAAACGAATGTTATAAAACTGCAGGGGCGCTTCAATTACACATTCATTTCTATTAAAAACTATAACTAGTTTATTTGCCGATTAATGCTTGGACCATTTTTGGCAAACATGACAGGCACGAGAGGGCGGGCTTCTTACTATTTCATTTCAAGATGGCGGCGCCCACGGCGTGATGTGGAAAACCATCCTGCTTGTTTTGAGCCTTTTAAATTAATATTATCTCGTCTCAATGAAGGTCAGTTTTTGCAAAAATGATGAAAAGACAAGAATATGGGACTGACAAACATTACAAATTTTGTTAGAAAGTACCCTGAGAAATGCATAGGTTGCTCCGTTCATTAACAAAAAATCTCAGGACTTTTCTGTTTTCATTTCACGTGTTCAAAATCCCGGTTGGCTGGTTGGTGACCTTCCACTAGGCCCTACTTGCATTACAGTCCCGAAAAATGAAAGCATGTAGCATCTATGATCTGGGAGCCACTTAAGCAGTTGTGTGCAAAGTCTATGGAGAGTCAAGAACATTTTCTAAAAATTCCGTAACAAAATTGGAAGTGTTTTTCAGTTTGAGATTCATGTCTTTCATTTCAACATTAAATGAAGAAAAAAGTGGTGTCAGGTTGCAACATTGTTTCCCCAAAATTTAACGAGCTCTATATATGTTCAGTAAGCAGTTCATCCAAGAACTCCAGTGGCAAGAAGACAAAAGTGAGGAAAAAATGGAGCCCAACACGAATACATGTGTATACTGTAGAAATTTTGAAAGTCCAGAGATATGAACAGAGCGTTCCTATTGCCCTATATATAGCGATTTGGTGATGGATTTTAATATTCTTTATGGCCTTGTAAAAATGTATTTTCATGTAGAAGTATTTTTGTCTAGCTTACATGTAGTAAAGCCAAACTTTAATCAAGAAGAATAATATTCATGCTATTTAATCATAATATTCGTGCTATAAATAAATCTCTTTAATCATCTCCTTCAGCAGTTTTTGCAATATTATAAGTATCAATAGACAGACAAGCAGATGCGTCCCACTACACTGTGGCCTCTCAGGATAGCCTTCCAAAAAGCCTTTCAACTGACTCCTCGTCCAGCGAAACCTTCCCTGAGATTCCCTGGCAGCGTAAGGCCAGCAAGTGCCATCGGTGACGACATGAAGCTAGATACGCCAGAGTTCCGTGCCGTCTTCACGCCCGAGTTGAGACAACTGGCCGAGATCTTCAGGCTAAACAACCACGAGTTGAGGATTGCTGGCGGTGCAGTTAGGGATCTACTCACGAGGGTGCGTTCAGGGGTGTCGCTAGAGGGGGAGTGTGGGGGTGTTACAACTGACACTGGGATTAGTTAATCAGATAACAGAAATATCAGTGCAGGCCTAGTGGAGATAAATGCTTGGTGTAGAGAGGTAATCATAGTAAAGTATCTTGCCCAAGAACACAAGTGCCATGATCCTGTCAGGATGTGAATCCACATGAGTTAGACACCGTAACCATAATAAGACTAGAGGCTGAACTTGTTTTATAGAAATGAATCTCAAGAGCTATTGCAATGTTAGGGAATGTGTGATGATTTGTCTCTTGGTCAACAGAAGCAACCTGAGGATATCGACTTTGCCACCACGGCCACGCCCTGCGAGATGAAGGAGATGTTTGAGCGGGAAGGCATCCGGATGCTGAACACCAAGGGAGAGAAACATGGGACCATCACGGCCAGACTCAACGACCGAGAGAACTTTGAAGTGACCACGCTCAGAGTGGACAGGGTGACAGACGGACGGCACGCTGAGGTGGAATTCACCAAGGACTGGAGGACAGATGCTGAACGGCGAGATCTAACCATCAACTCTATGTTCCTGGGTAGGTTAACCCTAAAAGAACCTGTTTTTTTCCATATTACAGCTGGGTTGGGGGATTCTACCCCCTCCTGAACTTGGACATGTAAAAACTCATTATACACGCATATATAGAGGGAGAATTCAAATCCCCCTCCCTTCCCCTTTTAGGATTAAAGAACAACTCAGGCATGCAATTGGGTATTTTTAAAAAAACGAGGGAATTCCAAACCACACAAAACTTTGTACAGTATTTTTCAATTTGTAATGGCATGCAGGAGACGTAAAAAACAAGGAAATCAGCGGATCTGAGGAAAAGTTGCAAGCCCGACAACTAAAACAAGAGAAGAAAAATAATTGTTCAAGCTTATTACAACTTGCTCTAGTTGTTAATGTTCACTTGCTTCATGGTTCTTTGCTGTTGTCCAGGTCTGGATGGTACATTGGTTGATTTCTTCAATGGCAAGGCGGATCTGGAGCAGCACAGAGTGGCATTTGTGGGAGATCCAACGGCAAGGATCAGAGAAGATTATCTTCGCATCCTGAGATACTTCAGGTAATAACCAACATCGCAATATGTACTTGCCAAGCTCCGTCTGTAAATCAGTATTTAGACTTAAGGAGTCATTGCATAAAATATGCAGGATAAATGTTGGACAGTTTTATCCACAGCGGGTCCTTTTTATCAGGTGTTAGTTGGTAGGGGTGTGCATCAGAACCGAGTACCCAGATACCAGACTGCTGATGTCAGGAACCGGTTTTAGATTATGGGATCAGGTACTCTACCAACTTTACAAATTACTTAGTAACTTCTCAGACAATGAAAAAGAAAGCATTTGAAACTTTTGAATGCCATTTGTGGGAAACTTTCAAAATTCAAACCAGGCAACATGGAAAACCAAAACAGATTTCACAATTGTGTGCATTTCATTGTGCGACAGATGACCCTTGCAAAAGTTAAAGCCCTTCAGACAACTTCCAGGATTTGAATTTTGGGGTTGGGTTTCTTTCACGGGTACCCGGGTCAGTACCGATGTTAAACCCAATAGGGTACCTGGTTCCTGTACTACCTTGAAGATACCCACCACTACTTAGTTGCTAAACAACTTTGCTGAAATCTCCCCATGATAAGCTCTGAACAATGCTGATAACTTTGTTACGGGAACATTCCAGAGGAACTGTTCAGCACATGACCTTGTCAGTTTACCATTTGAAAAGTCCTTGTGCCAACCCACAGATTTTACGGCCGCATAGCAGATGAGCCTAACCTGCACTGCGCTGAGACCTTGCAGGCCATTCGGGAGAACGGCGACGGCCTGGCGGGCATCTCTGGGGAGAGAATCTGGTCTGAAGTGAAGAAGATCCTGACGGGAAACCACGCAGCGAGTCTGATAGAATGCATGCATGATCTGCAACTCACCCAATACATGGGTACAAATACAGCTTGTATTTCCTTCTGGTTTGATCAATGAAACTGATTTTGCAAATTTGAAAGCTGATTGAGCTTTAAGTGACCGAACAAGTTGGGATATCTGTGCTGTTCTGGAACGTTCGGTTAGGATTTAGAATTAGGATTTCTCTCAATGAACTGTGTACCTGAACAACACCCACAACAAAATGGCATTTTATTTGGTCTTGTACTTAATTAAGAATTGCCTGTGATTGATACCTGATGATATCATCGTGGCATCACAGACTTCAAATCTTGCGATATTTGTTTCAAGTTCATGCAGCACACTCGTAAAAAGATTTTAAAAGTTTTCATCTCGATTTCAAGCCTAGAAGCATCTGGTTTTAACAGAAAATATCAAAACAAATATATATATTGGCCCTTGAAACTAATTTAAAATTCTGTTTCAGGCCTGACAGGAATAACCAACATCACCAATTTCCGTCGGGTCTGGGAGCGGTCTCGATCACTAGACCCCAAGCCAATGACTCTCCTGTCGGCACTGCTGAGGTCCCAGATGGAGGTCTTGGAACTCGAAGCTCGTCTCAAGATATCGGCCGATGAGAGGAAAACGGCACTTTTCATTGTCGCTGAGAGGGACGACAAGTACCATCCAAGCAACCCACTGAAGCCGTATCAAGACATTGTAGTCTCGGTAGGAACACACTTGAACCCATTAGTCTTGTACCGCCCAAAACTGCCCTACTGTTTTCTCCTTGGAGTTGTACCGCCCCAAACCCCCAGGCACTCTATGATTTTATGGAGTCTTTTGGGAATAAATACAATGTAATACAATGTAGTACAAGTGCTTCAGTCAATAAGACACAATGCCCTGTGACTTAGGTCAGCTAGGAAACCACACACAGAACACCTTAACAACAGATACATCCAGAAAACAGAAAATTTAAAGGGGAAAAAAGGGAGAAAGGGGAAGAGAACTAAAGACAGTTTAAGTCAATATTGTACTTAAATTTGTCTTAGTTTTATAATAGAAACGGCAGGAAACAGGGCCCTGCTCTGTCAATTATGTATACAGTTTTTGAACAGCGCCCCCAAACGTCAAATGATGTCCACTACGCCCCCTCCTTATTTTTTGCGTTCTTCCATTGCCGGTTAATGCTTTCCCTGCCCTCAAAAAAAAAATTCCTGGCAATACATTGTTTATTGTTAATTGAAATTCAAACTCGTTCCCATCATTTACTCTGTTTCAATCTCGTCAGTAGACCCTGGGAGAATATCTTTCCCATATTGTAATTGGACACTGCAATAACAACAAATTTGCATCTTGTATATGGTGCTTTGGATTTTAAATTAGGGTTTGGGATCACACCGTAAAATGATCGTTTCTTGTCAAACCATTGTCCGTTTCTTTCCTGCAGCTCCAAGGCAAAGAGAAGAACGTTCTCGCTTACACCCTGGAAGTCTTGAAGTACAGAGGAGAGAAAGACCTCTTGGACAGACTCGGCCATTGGGAGATACCAAAGTTCCCCGTCTCTGGGAAGGACCTCATTGAGGCGGGGGTGCCGAAGGGGAAGGAATTTGGGAAATGCTTGGAGCGACTTAAAGAAAAATGGATGGAGAGTGACTTCTTAATGAGCAGAGAGGACTTGCTGAAGACGCTTGCCCATACACCGAAGAGCGATAGGTGATGCGGGAAGAAGTTGTAATTGAAAGGACTTGCTACAGACATGGCAAAGATCTATAATCTGAACTGTTCAAATTTGGTGCAGATATTCATTTGTGAGGACAGAGTTTGGAGAACTAATTTAACCCTCCTATGCAAACATACATTCTGTGTCAAGTTGTCATTTCAGTCAAAATGAAACAAGTGACAGTTTTCAACAGTTAAGAATTCACAGCCTACATAAAGCAGGATTGACTGGCTGGGACTGTTTAAGTAACTTGATACAGCTATGCTTTGACTCCGGGTGAGTGATAAAACAGCTGTGACCACAACTTGCCTGCTTTGACCCAGTTTGACTAGTCACAGTGCTTGCTTGACATATGATCTGACTGCTGGTGACTAGCCTTTGTTAAAAAGTATAGACGCGGAAGTGAATTTTGACTGTCTATGACTGTTTAAATATCAGAAGTGTTAAATAACAGAATGTACATGTATCTGTACTCGGCACCATGGGCTCCGCAAATGTTTGTGTCATAAAGCAATTTTTTGCCTCCGACACCAAGATTTCAAGATGTAAATTAAAAAACCAACAACTAAATTAACATCTCCCAGTGCAAAAAAATATCCATTCTTCAAAAGTGAACTACTAGAAAGTGCAGTCTCTTTTGGCAAATGTTTCAACATTAATTTATAGATGAAAAGTGTACTCTTTTTATTTCAGTCAAAAATTGTTTAACAATTGACTTACAATTATTTTAAATATTCCAACAATTTCACAATCAAAACTGAAATACTGGTATTTGCAGATGAGGATTTTTGAAGGAGCGGACAGCCTTTAATTGAAAACCAAATGAAGGAGAAACTTTTGTCCCCACAATGTTTCAGTTTGATATTGCAAACAGTAATATTGGTCAAGTTTTCCCGGCACCTTTTGTGAACGGGAGTGATTTACAACACAGTTTCAATCAAGTCTTTGCCTCAGAGAGGCTACTTTCTGACAACCTGTGAATATTGTTCTGCAGTTAATCATCTGTGCTGTATTGTTTACGTAAGGTAATGTGTATATTATACAAATACAATATGCATTCTGCGGCCTTAGAAAAGCACAAAGCATCACTGATCACTTAAATCTTGTTTATAAAAAAAATTAACAAAAAAGTAATAAATAAATGCATCAAACCCACAAAAACAAATGGAATGTTGGCTTTTTACCTATGATGCACAATGCATATGCAGATTTGTACAACTACATGTAACCACATATATTTTGTTATTCCCTGGTATTATAACATACATCATAGTCATTTCTGTTCTCTGATACATTCGTAATCACTTAAAGAGAAATCCTGAGTTTATTTTTCAATTTTTTGAAGTCGTGAACGCCCTTGTCTGGAATAATTTAAGGCACTAGGTATTTAAAGAACTGCACAAAAACTTAACTTCATTTAAATTTAAAAAAACCGATATTGTACAATAACAATCAAATATGTACACTTTTACAAACTGTCTAATTATAGATCTTAAAGACACAAATAGTTTCATATGCTTGGCATGAGACTGACAATGACGACAACACCCATGAACAGTGTGAACAGCATAAGTGGAGTCAGGAAACCATACACTGGCCATATAGCAATGTTGAGACTGCAAAAGTAAAGAAAGAAAAGAGTGTAACTTGCATTTACAATGAAAACCTCTGTCAAGTTGTGTGGCATATTTATTTGTTTAGGCAAATTATCTTGGTTTTAGCTTGTTGTCAGTAAATTGAAAGTGTAAATTCCAGTTGTTTTTTACAACTCAGACAAACCCACTTTCCAATTGTATTAATTCCAAGCACAGTGCTACAATTGTGTGGTTATTTGGAAAATAAAGGGTTGCTATTAAGTGACCAATATAGTTGATAGCCATCATGGGCGTCACCAGGATTTGTTGTAAGGGGGGGGGGGGCAAAGCAAATTTGTTCCCCAAAATCCTTGTACTTTCTCTAGCATATTCTCAAGTGATCATTGAGATGGCAGGGGGACATTTGCCCACTCCACTAGGGTTGAGAAGCCTAATCGGGACTTTTATTATATTCAACACTCACCAAATTCCCCCTAAGACAAAGGACCCAGTTGCCAGAGGAATAGCCATGGGGGACGCCTTCTCCCAATCGCTGATTTTCTTGATCCAGCTCAGGTATACGATGAGATATGAGCCGATACTGACGTGAAAGGCCATCAGAATAAAGCCCAGATACAGCCACGTGCTAAAAAAAAAGATCAAAATAAATATTAAAAATATTTAAGGTTCAAATCTGTCCACAGGTCTGGTTCAAAGGAAATCTGGTGTTTTTTTTAATTGACGATAAATATTGGAAAAATCTGTTTAAATCTAAGGCCCCCCCCAAAAAAATATTCGGTCTCTGGTCAGACCAAAGTTCCGGAATTGACGCGGCCACGTGGCTTTTTTTTTTTGGGGGGTTTTTTTTTTTTTTTTCTTACAAGCTTGGATTGTACAGACAAGGTGGGTACTATTTTGCTTTTTTTGGTGTCATGTACATTGGTGTCCTCCATAATTTGCCTTGGTGCTTTCGATCATTTGTCTTGGTGCAATTTCCCATTCCTTGGTGCTCTTTGGTAAAAAAAATTGAGGAGGTGTGGAAATAGAGGGCGCTGTTGGAGCTACCGCGGAACATTTTGGAAAACAAAAGATCGACGTGCATGATTAAAATCGACGCGCGCGCTGACCAGAGACCGACTTTTTTTTTTTGGGCCTAATGCAGCAGCCATAGAGCTGCGCAATCGATGGCGGACAACGTTTCTCTACCTGTATATTCTACGATCTTCCTTGATGGCTGGAATGAGATCTGTGTAGTACAGGACAGCGAAGGACCCTAAGATCCACAACAATGTCTGGATGTTATACGGAGACCCCGGCTTTGTCTCCATCGTCAAGTCGCCCATCTCTCGTCGTCTCTGAAGTTCCTCCAACCTCTTTGGATCAATGTTCTTCAAGTCTGTGCAACAAGACAATACAAAGCAGAGGGTGAAAATTAGGGTCTGACACTGGATATTTCCCAACCATTCATGACAATGGTTCACTAGGCTCAAAATTGAACTCGTAAGACTTTTTAAGACTGACAAATCCTACTTCTTGTCCATGCAATCAAAATGGATAAAAAACTGTGCGCACTAACATGAGCGAAATATAAAACTGGCTAATTTGATTACAATTAGGCCAAATAAAAAAGGAAAGAATGTTGCAACCTGACGCTGCTTTTTTCTTCATATATCATCTCAATGAAGGTCAGTAATTGCAAAAATGATGATAAGACATGAATCTAGGACTGAGAAATATTTCCAATTTTGTTAAAAAATACTTTAAAAAATTTCTTGACTCTCCATGGACTTTGTAGTTGTACACAACTGTTGAGGTAGTGTCAGGCTGCAACATTCTTTCCTTAAAAAAAACCTATTTAACGTCCCCGCCCGCCTCTTTTTTGGAGTCCGCCTTTTTTTATTTATTTACTTTTTTTTAAAACCTAACAAATGATAAATTTTAAACAGTGACATCATTTTGGCCTCTTTGTCTTTTGCACCTAGCCCATTTCCCCAGTCCAAGTGATGGTTATTTATAAAAAAAACTGCACGTTATTTGTAGCCTTGTTGCCTAGTCTGGTTCCGCGCTGAATATCGTTGTAATGTTACATTCAGGGGGCGGGGAATCAGACCTAATGAAATGTCGGACTTTACTTCCCTTTAAAAAAAAAAATCCTCTCTGTAGCCACAACTACAAAAGACAACAAGGCTAGGGCTATTAGTATTACTAATATTAGGCAGTATAAAAAAAGCCAGCGGCCATCTTGAAAAATAGCCCGAAAGAAAGGGCCTCCTTCACTTCAGTTTGTTTCATGTTTTTCAAAAAGGCAAGGACGCTAAACATTTTTTTAACTTGGCCTTAGGGCCTACATATTATATTTCTAAGTTATATTCTGTGCATGAATCAATGATCAGTTAATTTTGGGAAAATACTAAATAAAATTATTTAAAATTAAAGCTCGACTGGTTCACTGCCCCCCATACATGCCATGAACATTATAACAATGTTTATGTAAATTCTGACCTTTGCCGTACGCTGCCATAAACACTTTAGCAATTCTTCTCCTTCGCAGCTGGAACTCATCCTCTTCTTCAGCCTCAGGTATCGGTTGGTCATCGTGACATTCAGACATAATGGCGGCTATAATTTATTTGCAGCAAAACACAATTTTCACTTTAGGAATTTGCGAAGTTGTTGTCTGTCGTACGCGTTGTCAATGTGCATTGCGATTAGTATGGTCCTCTTGGCAAACGGTGTGAAATACACAATAGCCGATACAGGTACCCAGACCTTGCTCCAATCAAACAAATAGTAATAATGAAAATTGTTCAAGGCATTAATCCGCAGTCGGTCACCGAAGTCCGGCTATTATTTCTTCCATATTGGCATTTCCTGTCCTAGTTACAAACGCGGCCACTTCAGTGCAGAATAGATATGCGACTCACTGTCACTCACGACTTGTTTTTCCCGGAACAGACTCTTTTGCTTTTCTGCGGTGCCGAGAAGCACCAATCATGAGTCTCGGAAGTTGGACACAAGTTTTGAAATGTATTAAAAAAAAGGCATGCTTCGTGTGTACAGGCACGGGCAAGCAGGGATCATATTATAATTCTACTAAGTGGAATTGAACCAGTGAAAAATAAAACTAAAACAGTGAAACCAATGGTTTGATATCATCGTCTCGTAATACAAATTACAATACATTACTTAAACGTATCGGCTCTATTATTTGGCACGCAAATGCCCGTTTGTGAGCCTGGGTTTAAAGTGATTAAAATAATCACTTGATCTGAAGTTTATATTTGAAGATTTATGAAGTTTATATTTGAAGAATAATCACTTGATTTGAAGGTTAATCTTAGCAAGAAAAGCCCAGTGTCGGGCTAGAAACTAGAAGACTGAACCAGCATGCATGTGCGTCGCCTGGCATTTCTAGACGGGTCAAAGAACACCCCCCCCCCCTCGAAATCCCTGTACTTTTCCAGCATTCTCGATTTATAACATATTAGCCCCTCAACCCATTTAATTAACAGCAATATGACTTTGCGCCTCTTTTTCTTTCTTCCCCCTTTTCTCTTTTTTTTTTGGGGGGGGGGTTGCTTTTCCGGGGGGGGGGGCAACTTATAAGCGCCCCCCCCCACACGCGACGCCCATGCCAGCATTCTAAGCATTATTCAATTCAGAGTAATGCTCGAAATATCCTTTACGTATAATTGTATGACCATACACTGCCTTGTTACTTTGGGTATTAAGTCACAGGTAATATGCAGGGTGTGGTGAACGAACATCTAGTGCTTCTGTGCAGCCTCAATGCCTAAAACACATACTGTAACAGTTATTGTGCAGAAAAAAATATTCCCAAGATTAAATCTGTCTTGACTCATACATCAAATCAAGAGGTGAACCAAACCTAATAATTATGAAGCCTATTTATGAACACACACGTCTTCCACGGATCCTACCCATAAATATAAACGACTCCGCCAAATTCTTGAGACGCGTGATATAACGGCCCATAGATAATGGCATTATCATGATTACTTGTCAACAAAGACCCAGACAGCTTAACCGCTTTACTGTATTCACTGGGCGCGGTGGCTTTCAAATTTGCAGGGCTCTGCGCTCGATCTGGTGTGGAATTTTGTCACGCCAGCTAATTAAATTTTTTGAATATTCATGATCCTATGGGTTTTTTGGCCGCTTTCATTATTGAATTGTGACATGTGACAGCTACATAACCGTGTTAACGTCGAGCACAATATCTTGAGCTTTAAAATGAAGAATGAAATGTAGCATTATTGGTTTGCGACCACATCTCCCGAAAACTGTTGATGAAATCCTAATTCAAAACGGGATTTGGGTAAACGCTTTCTTCTCGAAATAGGTGTCACTAGTTTATTTCCCGGGTAAACACTTCATCTATGACGACAAAAAGTGCACGATCTGTTGTACCATGAAGTACCGGTATTCATTTTGAACAATTTTGGACCCATTATATCTTACATATTAGGACATTGTCAGCAGCATGATGCTTTAATATAGTATTAATTTCGTCGGATTTGAACAGCGCCCCCATTAAAAGTATAATACGAGCCCCCCCCCCCCCAAGTATTGATTTTACCGTACGGAGGCCAAGTGCCCGGACAAAAAACTGTTTACATAACATTTCTGCATTGATTTGCCGCTGATGACACCCCCCCCCCCCCGCAAAAAAATCCGACTGGATCCGCCCCTGATGTTCAAAACTAAATATGCTATAGTTTTGTACTGGGATCCCCGATTTTATGGAATTCTGTTAGAAATCTCCTAAAACTTTCCATAGCCCCTATGCTTGATTTTCTGCTATTCTTTTATTTTATTTTTTCAAACAGCCTGTCACATCACATCTAGCCGAAAATCGGCTAAAACGTCACCATGTACGGTGCCAATGTACAACATTTTTCGTCTGCTCGTTTTTTTTTTACCAGACTCCTTTGTCCAATCAAATTGGCTAGATTGACGAGAAGACGTCACCTACATACTTCTGACCAATGAGAGACATGCCACGCGAGCCACGCGAGCCACGCGTGCTACGTCACGGATCGGAACGCCCTCTCGTCTTAAAAAACAAAAAATAGGGCATCTTTTTTTTTTCCACATCGATGCTACTCCGTCTGGAAATGAAGACATGCCTTCATAGTTGTTTCATTTCTTTCAATTGACAATTTTCATTCACATTGAAATTGTTGGCATTTTGTTGAATAGGTCTGAGTGGAGAAAATTTAGTATGCGGAGAAATACGCACTGAGTACTTCGACCCAAGGCAGCGCGAAGACACCGGTACGGAGCAACAGCCAGCGATATAAAAAAAAAACCCGACCCTTTTCACCTCCATATCATTACGCCATGGAAAATTACCGAGAACGGGGTCAACGGACATTGCATTGGGATGAGGCAGCTCACATGTCTTCCCGCTATTTTTGGTCAGTCACCAAAAAATTGCCTCAAATTTCACAAGCAAAATTTGAGACTTGAACCTCCGAGTCTGCCGTCCAGCTTCAAGCCCCCAACGCGGGCACTTGTACATCATACCCTGCAGTCGTCATAGACGCGGAAAAACATCATTTTTGGGTCTTGCAATTCGACCAGAAAATTGGCCTCATGTACGGGGTCACTGCAACTTTTTGACGCAGACATGTTGCGTCGTCGTCACCCATATTGAAAAACTGACTTGAACTTTGCTGTAGGCCTACATAACTTGTCATAACTTTTGTTATACATAACTAATGCTCATTTTGTGCTGAACTGAACTGAATGGACATATGGAATTTTTGTGAACTCATAATTTTGTCGAATGATCTGAATGACGTTTTTGGAGTTCGTCGGGGTAAGTCCAACTTTAAATAAGGAATTGTCGAGGTGAGTGAAAATAAGCATAATGTATTGCATTTTGTACATGGGGTTGTGTTTTGCATTGTTGAAAATTGTGCGATAAAATTCTGCAATTCTTCTCTTTAACTAGCTGTTTAAGTATCTTTCAAAGAAAACTGGAATTTCGATAAGCAACAAGTAATCATGTGTGTTTGTTGCCAACGAAATGGCGTCCATTTTGGACTTCATTGAGTTTGTCTTTTGCATTGCTGAATAGCCTTCTGTAGTTGAAATTCCATTCCTGTAGGCGAAAGCCCTTTGGAGTTAGAGTAATTTGCATATGAATACCCTTCAACGCGTTTGTCAATTATGCATGCCTTTTGGTGCATTGCGCTTTTCACGCATTGTTTCAAAAAGCTAGCCAGTGGTGCAAGTCTGCCACGTGAGCCGCTCGTGGCCGACGCAGTGTGGGCGTGTTCATGTAGACTCCGGTGATTCTTATTGGTTGAAAAGTTGAAAAGGGCGCGCGCGTGGTATGCGGCCAGGTGCACCGTCTTTGATGCACTTTGAAAGCATTCCAGCAAAGCAGGGCTAGGGGCTTATGGGCGTTTACTAAGGTTGGGGTAAACATGTTTAGATTTTCGTAAGGAATGGAGGGTTCCTTGGAATTTGGGATTGCCTTTTTGTTATAATTGTATAAAATTAAACACACTATTTTGAGTATCAAATGGCGGCATTCCAATGGACCAAAATCAATTTCATGGACAATGTATCCGCGGATCTCAAATTTGTAAAAAAAAAATACAGAAAATAATGAACTTTACACCATTATCTTTAGGGTATCTTGTATATTTTGATTATGATTGTATAAATTTCGATTTTAAAACATAGCCGACGGCATTATTTGAAGCTCAAACGAATTGGAGAAGACCTGCAGTTGAGATCGAGACTAGCGAAATTCGACGTTTGGAAGAAGGCAAATTATAAGGCAAAGTTATGATTGTATTAAATGAACGATTACGATTCAGGTTAAGGCGTAGGATTAAGGCGGGGTGGGTTGGGGTATAGGCACAATGCGCGCGTAGGCAGCCGAGCACACCAGCAGCAGCGTTAGGGAGCGTGACCTGGCACAGCCATGGTGTAAAAATTAACTTATAAAAATGTTTTAACAAAACAATAACAAAGTTATAATAAAAAAATTATTTTCGAGGCACAGTAAAGATCATTTGGCAAATCGTAGCTTGATCCTTAAAAATGATTAACGGTATATAGTCAATTAAAAATCCGTATCGAGGTAGTGTATTCTAATGAAAAAAATACAATGTTATAGAGAATAAACCTCACCCTTGATGGGTGGAACTTTTGAGAAATACGACACCCTTATGCAACTATTGAGAAAGACGTCACCCTTGATGGGTCCTATTGAGAGGAATGACACCCTTGATGGGTGATACTATCGAGAAAGTCCTCACCCTTGATGGGTGCATCGATTTTTTTTGATTTTTGATTGTTTTTTTATAAATAAGTAGACCCATGTTACTGAGCTCTGAGGTTACATGGGTTGATGAGCATTCGTCATTTATAAACCAGGAGCTCAAATTGGGATAATTTTCACGATTTTATAATTATAGGTATATGATATCGTCTTCCCGAGAAAGTGTTCACGGGTTGGTGATATCTTGTAGGTGAGATGCCGTCTTCCCGAGAAAAAATATTTCTCGGGTTGGTGATATCTTGTATATAAGACATCGTCTTCCCGAGATAATGTGTCATCACGGGTTGGTGATATCTTGTTTGTAGGGTGAGATGTCGTCGTCTCGAGAAAAAAACAATCTCTGGTCGATGATATCTTGTAGGTAAAATATCCTCTTCCCAAGAAAGAACAGATTTCTCGGG